AAAAAAGAAAGAAAGAAAGAAAAGAGGAAAGATATAAGATATCACACGTTCGCAAGAATTTTAACTCCGATGTTGCCTTTAGATTAAACGTCCATACTATAGCATTGTATACAAATGTATCATGACCACGAGGCATCGTTGAAGCGCTCGATATTGAGTTCGTTCTGAGACAAGACAGGACAAAAAAATATATAACTCAGTTATGAAATTCGAACTTTTTAGGAATAAAGTATCATCTAGGTCGACTTCTAATTTAACTTTCAAACGTATTTGGTCAAGTCAAGTCAAAAGCGCAATTATATTTCCGCAATACAGTACAATACTTAAAGATGAGGAGTTCTAATAGAAAGTGAAATTGAAAGAAGTCAAAAGCTATTTCAGGAGGTTAGGAAAACAAATAGCAAAAGTTACATTTCAGCCATAAAGGAAACATAGAACCGCTGAGAGTCGGAAGAAGAGGTTTAAGTAAGATAAACAAACATTACTAGACATTAAATAAAATGAAATAAAAAATGTAAAAATAAAAAGTAAAAAAATCTATCACATAAAAAATAAYATTTAATTTTTGTTTTATATTATATTATATTCAATATTTTACTTTCTTGCTTCATTTTATTTTATCGGAGATGAAACCACATCACATCAACTCGAATCCAAAATAAAATCAAATTAAAACTAAATATAAAATGAGAACCGTACAAATAATTCCACTTAAAATCTTCATCCCCACTGCTTCCCTACCACACGTAAAAACTGTTTTACCAATTTATTTTCCAGTTTTTAACCACAGCAGCAAAACACATATAATTCTTACAAATTAAAAGAAAGACCTACCAGAATTAATACAATAATCCCAGCTGTTTCAATAAAGACTCGCTCTATGGATTTAATGACATGATGCAGAACGCTTTGGGCGTATATTTTACACCACTCTTCCATTCTTAAACGTTCTGGCATTAAAAAAATTGTCAAAACTAGAAGATGTTATTTGTACAGCCTCCAGCTTATTCTTGAATAACATAAGATTTTCTTCGTTCCCCAAAAAGACATTTACGTGTGAATTTTTTTAAGCTCGAGAAAGTAAGAAATAGATAAAGTTGACACATTTTAACAAAAGGAAAATTGAAGGAATTTTTTTTTCAAAATTTTAAGTATCTATATTTTTCGATCACTTCCGTTGTCATGCCAACCATTAGTATAGTCGTGTTAAAATAACTATTTTTAGGGTTATTTAATTTGTTTTCTCAAAGAAAAAAAAAAAAAAATTCATTCCTTAGATATGACATTTCATGGAATAATCTTAATTTTAGAAATATATATTGTTAACTGTTTGAAAGTAGTTTAGACACCCAATTCACATGCGATTTTAAATTTGTCTAGAAAAGTAAAGCCCAAAGAGTGTAGCTAGATATATCTTGGTTTAAAATGAGGAAAGTTTAKATAAAGAAAAATAAATTCTGGTCGTCTAGTTGAAGCATCGGTTTAAGGGATTATTTAAGTCAAACTTTTCTGTCTCCTATGCACCTGTGAACATGATTTMCTATGATCTACGATCATCTACAATCATTTACTATAATAATGCCCTACATTTTACTATATTTTCCTTTCCTTTGTATAATCAGCCTACCTATAAACACAGCAACACATTTTCTTTCCATGAAAGTGTCTCAGTCACCATCAAAGATTATTCATAAAAAAATTTCACATTTCAACACTGGAGCCTAATTTTTGAAAACCATGGAAACATGTAGTATTGACTTAAATATTTTGTTGTTAATAAATGATCAAAGACMGACTACACTATTTTGATAGAATTTTAGCTGTGGCAATAATTAAAGCTAAGAAAATGACTTTATTCAACAACAATCTTTTTTCAGATCGTGTAAATCATAGTTAATTAACTATGTGTAAATGAAGCTTTATTTAAAGCAATAAATAAAAGTGAAATTTACTAGTAAAAACGCAAGTGTAAGAATTTTTTTTACAACACAGTTAGAGTGCGTAACTTCCATAGCTTGGGTTAAAAGTGGAAGTCCAAACACTTTGAAAACAATCGTAAAAGTCAAGTTTCGAAGTAAATGGCTTGATTTATACATTATTAACACTAAATGCTGGAACTGTCATTTTTAATTAATAAAAACTATTCGAAAATAGACATTAGCAACTTTCTAAGCGACGTTGGTGATTTCCAGAAAAAAATATTCGAATATTCTTTCAATAAAAAKGGAAAATATTTCTTTATTTTTGCAAAACTAAATATCGTTTTATTTTTATATTTAACAGTATTAAGATCCAGTAAAACTATCCAATATTGATACTTTATMGGAAACGTGTTCGAAAGTGATAGTTTCAAGGGTTTCAGCATGAAAATCTCCTCTTGCGAATAAAAAGTGGGCTTYTCATCACGTTTAATTAAAACCATAAATRTTATTTTCATCAAAAGCAAAAAAAWATATTGCATACACCTTCTAATAATACAATTACATTCAAATTTGAAAAAAAATATAGTAGKTTATATTTCCATAATATAACCATATTACCTCACGCTATTTACCTAAACAAGCTATATCGTAGTTCAAATCAAAAGTTTCAATTGAAAATTACGTGGTTGRAAATAAAGATTTTAGAGGAACAAGCAATATTCCCCGACTACCATTTGCAGACCTCAAAAATCCTTATATGCATGTATAAGTACAAAATCTTCTATGAGATGGAATTAATGTTCAGCGTTTAAGTTATAACCCATTGAGGTAAAAATACTTATTGCTTTTGTATATTTCATCTCGTTATTACCACTTATTAGATTTGGAAAACCCCTGTTTTTACTGGTTTAAAATAATCGTGCGCTACAAAAGGTTTATTGTCTACGACACGTTGTTTCTAGTGACCCGTAGGTCGATATTAAAATAATACTAAATTTTACCTTCAAAATCCGATCAACATCAAGTTCGCGTTCAAGATCTAACAGCTCTGAGTCCGGTGTATACTCCAATCGCTCTCTAAAACCTTGAAGATTTTAAATTAGGGTAAAGAACGGAGTATTTAGTGTCAGATTTTGCGTAAAAGTACAGCTATTTAACGGCTGTGCAACTGAGAAGACACAGAGAGAGCACTATTACTTACCGCTAACTTGTCGTTTAATTCTACTACTATAAGATATCTCGTCCCACTCAATGAATATCACGAATGTCAATACTAAGAGTCCAACTGCTGAGAGTTGGACTAAATGTTTGATTCGCCTGACTGCCACCATTTACAAAGAACTCTTTATTTCCACGACCAATAAATCCAAGAGTCGTCGAGCCTTGAAGCAACAAGTTATCTTTAYCAATGTAGCAAGAAGCGAGCATTTTATGGATCATCTGTCGTTTATCCATCCCATTTCGACTGAGTCTAGATGAATGAATCCTACTAAGGACTCCTCAAAGCCACAGACCACTTACGTTCACGAAGACAAGAAGTTTTATAAACATCATTTGCATAAATCCGGAATGAATAAATCCGACTGAAACGTTCGGTTAGTTCGAAGTGGCATATCCGGTCTGGCCATATGTAGAGACCGGAAGTGATGCCAGCATCATACCGGAAACTCTACGACAACAACAACAACAGCTTCATAATTTTTCTGTGAATTCAAAATTTTTATCGACTCTGAGAGAAATATTTCGAATCTCTTTGAGGTTTTGCCAAGAGAATGTTAGGAAAATGAATATATAGAACTATTGACAGGTGGTATGGTGCAAGGACCACCACGCCGATAAATGAATAGAAAACCTGTAGGTGTTCGTCCTAGTGGCCTCTTAACATTTATCTATTAAACCAATCGCTGTTGGATTTACTTCATTGAATGAATGATCGTGCTAACGCTTAAACCGTTTGTTAGATAGCATCAGCGAATTCAGACCTAACCTTTATTTGATCTTTTTTAATGGCGATGGAATCAAGAAAAAATTCAAGTAAAATAACGATCAACTGCAAACCCCATTTTAAAAATTCTCTTTATCAAATAGTTAAAACTAAATTAATTTGAAATTTGGATAAAATTAAGATCCAAGTTGTTCCCATTGATCCCTTATTTCTTACTGCGCATGCTCGCTAGAAAATGCGCAGGTTAAAGAAATAAGGGTTCTGCCTCTAGAAAATTAAAAGTCCCCATAAMATATGAAGTCAGATATTAAACTAGTCGGAGATTATTTGTTTAATGGATTTTTTTTGTATGTCGGAAAGCTTTTGCAGTTCGTATGATTTAAAAGTTAACCGATGACAGGCACCCAGCTGATCAATCTAGAGAGCGCTTTTTGTTTTTTGCGACCCGACAACTTTGAACACCAACAGTGCGGCACATTGCCTTAGTATATTTTTGATTGATACAAGMCAAAACCAGAGGTATCGAAGACTGTAAACATAAAAATACGCGCTCAGTCCAAGCCTATCAATTTCACTTAGGAACACGAGGGCTAAACTCTGTACACGGTTCAAGTGTCCTCACTGTAAAGACTGGCCGAGTATTTTTAGCCCATGTCGATAAAACACTTGATTTCAACTAGTCACGYTCAAATTTCACCTTTAAATTTCATGTTCACAAGCTCTAAGGAGACGCGTAATATTGACTTCGGAATGAAGACATTATTAACTACTATAGTTGTGGTAAACCACCAAGTGTTTTTCAAAAACCGTACGGAATATTAAAGTGACTGGTGGCTCACGGAAGACACCGGGTTTTGAAATAAAGTSAGTAAATCGAAAATTAGATGATGCATTGATTACAAGAGGATATATCTGAAAATTCAGTCAACAAACAAGAGTTTGATTTGTAGGACTATAGGTGCTGGTTCCTTTGATGTCCATGAATATTTTCGTATTAAAAAAACTAGTTTTTTGCATGAGAATGATGTTGCGCTATTCATGCTAGCACCCAGACGGACGCAGGGCTCATAAACGCGCCGAGCGCCTGACACTATAAACAATGGAGGCGTTGACTGCCTTAAAAGCCGTTACATCATTAACAGCTGATCTCAATAGAACACATCATTAGCCCAACATTTCTAAAGGCAAAGCATAAARTACAAATTGCTCCCTCGTGGMTAAAATTATTTYAAGCACYGYGCAAGCAGTGGGTGYGYGACGACACTAATAGTGGCTGCGTAAGAGACTATACGCGCAATATTTTGTATTCATCATATTCATCATGGCTTTAAATGGTCTTTAGTTTCTTAAGCCTAGTAGAGTAATCTGGACTGTTCTAATAATGTTTGTGAAGTCTTGAACTAGCCGTCTGACACATAGAAAGTCTTTACGATTGATATGTTGGTATACAGTAATCTTATATTGGACTCCTGGTGATGCTACAAATGCATGAATGCTTACTAAACTTGTAGAAGTTTGATAATACGTAGGTAAAAATGATGGACAATTATTTGAAGGTGCGTACTGCAGGTGGCGTTGATGGKAGGGTGGAAGATGGAGAGGGATAAGGTCAAGCTCGATGTTCTAAAGYATGGACCAATGGTCCCGTCAGAGAAGTGTTGACATTTCTTTTTCACCATTGAGCATGTCAGACCTGTCGACATGCTCAATGGTGTCTGTAGTGACTATGGCTATACGGCAAATACGTTGCTTAACATAAATGTAAATAGTGCATTCAGTTTTTTAGTTTTTGATATGAACACGAATATGAAGTTACCGTACATGTATAGGCGAGACGAGGATACTAAAAGAGGTGAACAGTCAACAGCCAAAGGGGGTATGGCGACCACTGCTATATAGCCCGAGGCATTGAGTGAACATGATCTAGGTCTGGGGGATATTACTGCACAATATATATAGCCCGAGGTATCGAGTGGTGTTATGAGTACAATGCGATACTGAGTGATATACACTCAATTGAAGAATCGTTGTCGGGTTCAGAAACATAGAACATAGAAGCTGAGACYGAAATGGCACAWGGGAAGWACGTTARTTASATGCATGYTGTGACCGGCGACCCGTGGCATCATCCACTGTTTTTARTACGCGTTTGGCGTTCTAAACCGACTGCATGGATGGCGCAAATAAATTATAATATAATTATGTCATTTCCCATGTGTCGTTTCGGTCTCAGCTTTTTTTTTGTTCTGTTTCTGAACCCGACAAAGATTCTTCAATTGAGTGTATACCAGATACCGAGTTAGACACGCAATTTAGTCTCATTCGAATAAAATCAAAAACACAAGAAATGGCATATTTTCTCGAATGGCATTATGGGACGCGGAAAGCAGGTATCATTGATAGGTTACTCCACGATGCTTGAGCAAAATAGCAATCTTATTTATCTTCTTTGGGAGATGGACGTTGAATGTCAGAATGTGGTCGCCAATAACATACTTGATGGGCGTTTAAGGGCCAAGCTAAATGTTAAATGATCTTAAAAAAATACCGCAAGGCGGACGACAAGAAAACTTAAGTAAAATACATCTATTATCGATTAAGTCGAGGGAAACATCTCTCTTTTCAATATTATCTTTAGATTATCAAAGTTTGGCCTCCGGCTGCCACTCATTTTAAACAAAAAAAGTAAAGGCAAGATATTTTGATAATATTTTTGCTTTTGCTTTTTTGTAATATTTGCATTCAAGAATAGAGAGAAAATTATTTTCATTTACAGAGCCTGCGCATCTTATGATCACCGCTGATCATAACATTTGCAGGCTCTTAACAACATTTTCAGAGATTCCTTGTACTTTGATCAGGAGCAGAATAGTAAGTTGTATTTGGGTAGATTGGTAGTCATTCCAAGGAATGGAATGGTTTTATTTTGAAGGAGGTGAGCCAGTTTCTCCATYGTCGAGTGTTTTGAGGAGTCGAAACAAGCTGGCTGCTTCACGAATTCGACTAAATTCAATACAGAAAGCTTGTACTTCGATGAACAAATCCTGTCAAATAAATAAAAATATGATATCAGAATCGAAAACATACGATTCGTGCGTCGTAAGATCAGTGGTGCCAATGACATACCAACAGGGGTAGGGTAAGTCGATCAGGGATTGTTGAAAGGGTGCGTTCCACATGTAAAGTCTTAGGCCCTGGCTAAACAAGGAAACACGTTTCCAGAAACATGTTTCCCGCGCGCCTGTTCCCCGATGATTCCAAGTTTAGCCACATGTGAAACATTGCTACGCGCAACAAATTTTGCTTCCAAGACGCAAAAATGTTTCTGCTGTGCGGCAAAAATATTTCATGCTTCCAAGACGCATGGAAACAATGTTTACCAATGTTTTCTGGTTTAGCCACGAAAATTAAAATTCTAAAATTTCGTTACTTAGCAACTCTAGCTCTATCTTGAAAGTGCGCATACGCTAACCGATRTTGAGCAAACATGTTCCCCAATGATTCCTGACAGTATTGCCACCTTTGGAAACATTTAAGAAAACATGTTTCTGGAAACATGTTTCCTCGTTTAGMCAAGGCCTTAAGCTTATTGGTTTAGCGGAGGGCTACTACACTCTACTCACATGCAATATCGAAACTGGGAATAGAAYCGGAGACCCCACGTGTATAGTAACTCACCTCATCCTTGATTGTTGTAAATAATAATAATGATGAYGATAATGGTAAGAAWAAGTGTTAATGATAATGATGATTATGATAATAATAACGTCTTTGTTTACAGAGGGTGACACGTGACAGTCAATTTAGCACTGATAGACCAAATTCAAAACTCGCACCGATGTGAGGCTTAAGTTGTGAACAAAGGGATCTGGCGTGACTCAAAGTAATCTGGCGTGATTCAAAAGTCACGAATCACGCCAGATTCCTTTGTTCACAACTTAAGCCTCACATCGGTGCAAGTTTTGAATTTGGTCTATAAACTTGTGACTCTCTATGTTTAACGTCTCTAAGAGAGTGGGGACCGTAATAATAATAAGTGTAAAATCGAGGTCTAACTATTACAGTGCAGATATTAGTAGAGAGTTTACAGAGATAAATACAGTACCTTAACATCGATAATTTTGTTCCTTATTAGTGATTGTAAAAACACACACACCTGTGGACAGAGACCAAACCATTAGCCTTAGACAAATATATTTTTATAACTGTTATATTGATGGATTGCAAGCAATTCCCAAGAGTTAAAAGACAAAAACATGGCGGCCATTGTGGTACCGTTAACAATGGATGCTAATGAGAGAGCTTTTGTTAAATGGTACCAACATGGCCGCGATGACGTAACGTGCAAACGAAGAATTATCAATCAAAGAAGAATATACGCTGCATGTATAAGGCTGGCTTTTCCTGAAATAGTGAACATGGTACATTGTGGTCTAGCTTGGGTACAAACATTTCATCATTCCTTACATGGTTTTTGTTTTGACCCAAGCTTGCCCACAATGCATTATGTTCATCGGATATTAGCGTTATCACAGGGAGCCCAAGCTCAATTATAGCTGGAAGCACATATCTTACAGCAAACTTGTGTGCTTAATGACCAAATCGTGTTTGTTTTTCCTGGAATTTTTAAGAAGTGTTTGTATTTTGTGAGAAAATGTTGTATCAATGTATTTACTCACCAGTCGAACTAGTCTGTTTTGCATATATTTATCTTTGATATTCTCACATGTTGAAATGCAATTAGAAATGTATAAATGGACAAATTCCTGTGGTAGRCCAACAGTCTGTGAGGAAAAGGATACTGTTAGCAGAGCTGATAAACACTATCTCTACATGACCGTTATCATGATCACCCATGATCGCTATTATACCTTCTCGCCACCAACATGCTATATGCAATTATCAACATCTTTTTCATCAAAACTTCATTAATATAATCATGATCACTATCATGATTACCATTATCATCATCATCATCATCCTCAAAGCAAGCCTTACCACCAACAACATCCGGATGGTCAACATCACCAACACAATCATCATCACCATTATCATCATCATCATCATCATCATCATCATCATCATCATCACCATCACCAACAACACCATCAACATCACCATCATCACCAACACAATCATCACCATCAATCATCACCATCACTATCATCACCAACACAATCATCATCATCAATCGTTGTCACCATTACCATCACCATCATCTTCGTCACTCTCATTATCATCATCATCACCATCACCATCACCAACAACACCATCAACATCACCATTATCACCAACACAATCATCATCATCAATGGTTGTCACCATTACCATCACCATCATCTTCGTCACTCTCATTATCATCATCATCAACATCACCACCACCATCATCATCAGGGGCGGATCCAGGGGAGGGGTGCAGGGGGTGCACACCCCTCCCTGGTTTGACTTTGTGCCCCTACTTCGAAGATAACCAATACTGTTTTTTTCCCGTTTGCACCCCTCCCTGGGTTAACTTTGTGCGCAGCACCAGGTCTCCCTTATCAAAATCCTGGATACGCCCCTGATCATCATCACCACAGTCATCAAGGATCTACAAATAATAAAACTGCTTCAAGTTATTCTCTAGTTAATCTTTAGTCTTAATAAATTCTTTTAACATACATTAGTAAGTCTGTTGACAACCTCCATTGAGTGTAGAGACATTTCCATATTAACAAGAACTGATAAATACCTAAACACAATAGAAAAAAGCATCATAATAAAGAGAACTATACTAATTCAAGAAAAAGGAGAAAATCTTTTGTCACACAACATGTCAACCTCCCCCCCTCTCCCCCATCGCCCATCTATCAGACACACACACAAACACTATAAAGGTTTACGTTGATTATATGTAGATCTTAATACTTACTCTGTAAATTGGTTGGATTGCATTAGTTTGAGTAATACTTCAATAGCAATTATTGGATTGTTCTCTACTAGATCTGGTAGCTGCAACACAACAAGACACATCAAATGTTGAAATATTGGATGATGTTGAACAAATACTTTCATTTAAGGAAGGGGTGGGAGGGGAAGTTTTGGTATGAGCATTGGAGACAGGGCAGGAACGTGTAAGATTGTCAACACATATTGTATCTACCTTAGCAGGAGAGAGTCCAATATGATATACCAATTTTGGGTCTTTTTCAAGCTCATCAAGCACTTGCTGTACAAAATAATAATAATAATAATTGATTGATCACAAACAGAAACAATTACTGATGCATTCTGGTCTAGACTGGGTATAAAAAGTTTTTTAGCCATTTTAATAAATAAATTATATGGTGAATTCTGAAGCCGAGCTAGACAAGTATGCACATGGTTTGAAAAATGCTTAAAAATCATCCACACCCTAAATCCATTGTTTGATGTAGGTTYTTAAAYTCTWCGGAAMACCCAGATTCTTAAAGCCGGGGAYGGAATTGATATCAACAGGGGAGAKCGGAGCTGAATTATAAACCCGGGATAGGYTTTTAATTACACGGATATATTGTAAGCACTCTATTTCCAAAAGAACAAGGCAACAGTAATSTACCTCTCTGAATTCAATATAATGTAGTATTTCRTGTTTTGCATCGAAACAATGGAATTTAGGGCTTAGTTGATATTTTAAACCAGTTCAAACGCACRGGCTCGGTTTTGCATTAGAATTCAAGACCTTGGACCTGCAGCCCTCTGTCTTGATTTCTAATGCAAAATCTCACCCTAGCATTTGAACCTTTATATAATAACTTCAAATATTATTAGGGAAGGTATTTATAAGATTTGCAATGTGTTGTAGTATTGAACACTACTTTATCAAGCAGTCTTCACACCTGCTGATGTCATCAGCGTCATGCTCTGTTTACTTATACAGCACATTTCTTGACCAATCAGGTAAACAGAGAGAGATGGCAAGATGATAATAAYAAATACATGCCTGTTGTTGATGCATTACTAAAGGTCCTTTAAAAGCCTTGGTCATCATCCTTCGCACCTCTCCACCTTAAAAGTAACCACATCTAATAAGAATAGATTCTACTTGTATAGTACACCCAATGAGATTATATAAAGTACCATGGATAGTTGGTRTTTCTACAGCACTGTCTTTCACTGCAGTGTAGTTCACACCATCCCTGAGGTCACAGGTTTGAGTTCCAGCTGAGCCACACGTGAGTTAAGTTTGTTTGAAGGGTTGTTCATTCTCCAGGTTCTCTGGCTTTCTTCTTTCCATAAAAATCAACATGTGAGTTGAGTTCGTTTGATGTGTTGTTCTCTCCCTTGCCACAAGGGTTTTTTTCCAGGTTCTCTGGTTTTCCTCCCTCCATAAAAATCAACATGTGAGTTTAGTGTTGTGTGCTGGTTTCATTGGCCCTCCCTGTATACTCCCCTGGGGTGTCATTTCATCAACTTATGGGAAGCACCGGTGGCCAGCGCTGCTAATGCTCCGCCTCTCACCAATGCGGCCTGAGTTCGAGTCCTGCCCATCTCGATGTCATATGTGAGTAGAGTTGTTTGTTGGTTCTCTCCTGTGCTTCGAAGATTTTCTCCAGGTTCTCCAGTTTTTCTCCCTCCTCAAAAATCAACTACCGAATTCTAATTCGATCTTTGGGCTTTCACTTAGTTTGGAGCCTAGCTCTGTTGAGATTGTTCCACGCTGTGATACAACAGCTAAAGCTAGTAGATTTTTTTTTAGATTTCTAAAATATTCTAAAGCTAATTTTTTTCGAAATAATATTGAGAGATTATGATCTACAGTACCTGCACTATTCATGACACACATGGTACTATCCCATTCTATTGAAGGTACATATCCTGATGGATTCATCCACACAAGCTGCATATCAACAAGAACAACATAGTTACGCTGTTACAGTATATTACTGCCTGTCTCAGAAACAAGTCTCAGATACTTGTAATTTAACCCTTTGACTACTAAGGTCCAACCTCAGTATTCTGCCTGTGTTCCTAGAGCTATTCAGAAAGTTGACCAAAAATTGTGCTCACAATCATTTGTGTGAAGTTTCTGGATTTTGATTGAATATTCCTCAAGTATGACAACTGAACAATGGGATACAGTAGGGTATTTTCTTGGGTGAACATATTCTGATGAAAAATAAAATGATAATTTTCGGCCTGTTTTGGCCCGCTTAGGAAAATCAGCAGATTTTGTAATGGCCTGATTTTGCCTTTTTAGTAATCAAAGGGTTAAGGGCTAGCACCCCATATGTAGCAATTAATTTTTAGTTATTTTATAATATATATAAAATTTTTCTAAATATATTTTGATATATTTTTTATGTACATTAAAACATATAATATATTCAAGGTTCCTGCTGTGGTATYGAACCAAGCAAGTAACGATCAAAATTCAAGGAGTTTTTGAGGAGTTTAAGGAGAAGCACGAACMATGAATATCATATATTGGGCATCTTGAGGCCAATCTGTGCAGCAGTATTGGACATCTTGTAACTTCAAGGGTTGTAAAGTACATGCAATATGTATGCACATTCTCTCTCATTAGGTACATTATCAATTGTCATAACAACACACAACTCTACCTACCTCGTCTTCACATGAATACAGTGGGGGTGGTACTCGGGCATAAGTTGGTCGAAGACTTGATTCCGTGGGAAGTTCATTTCCTTTAAACAAAAAAGAAAACCACGATCATGTTGACCTTTATTTTATTACATCAGTGCATAAAGGGACATCTTTTGTCTAAAAAGACCTGTTACAAACTGAAAAACTTACAATGGCTTTAGATTGTTTTAAGAGTTAAAGGGCCGAAGTTCATTTTGAGATTTTGTAATATTTACAGTAAACTATGTTCCCTGCTACCAGGATCTCCCATGTTGATGATTCTTGACAGAGAAGATCTATACCAAGAATTGCCAACAAGTAAGACTCAAGAATCACCAATGATGGAGACTCTGCTAGCAGGGAATAAACTATGGCACTTGATGAAGAAAGCCTAATCAACAACTTACCTGTCACTAGCTTTTCTGTTATATTATTGGCAGTAGAAGAGTCAAACTCAACACTAGAGAAGACAAAAAATGGTTTAATACCAAATACTGTGATAATAGTTATACAATATTAATTTGATAATTGTGCTGGAGTGGTGAAGATGGTGAAGCTGATGATGAAGATGATGGTGGTGATGATACAGTATTGATAATGATGATGATGAAGATGATGATGGTTATGTTGCTAATGATGATGATGATGATGGACATGATGATGTTGATGATGGAGATAATGATGATGGTGAAGATGACAATGGTTATGTTGCTGATGATGGACAGGATGATGATGACGATGGTTATGATGGAGATAATGATGATGGTGATGATGGACAGGATGATGATGATGATGATGGTGATGATGGGCAGGATGATGATGGTGGTGATGATTGAGATAATGATGATGGTGAAGATGACAATGGTTATGTTGCTGATGATGATAATGATGATGATGACGGTGATGGTGATGATGGACATGATGGACATGATGATAATAATCATGGTGACGATGATGGTGATGGTGAGAGTGATGGTGAGGATAATAATACAGGAATTGTTCTACAGGGACCTTGAGGGAGGCCCTGGATAATATGCACTAAAGTATCATCCTTTCACTTCCCCTCATCCTATCTAGTGAATAAATTATGGAATATCCACATCGATTAATCCACTGGATAAGAATTCATCCATCAGATAGCACTATCCACCCTTCGCACAACTGGGCCTTGTACTATAACTGTGCTAACTTACAGTACATACCTGCTTCGCATATCAGGATCTGCTAAAACAGGAGAAAGTCCACAGCAACTAATCTCAGCTAGCTGTGAGTTCTTTTCTGTTAATGACATTACTAGGTTACTGATGTCAAGGTTCTTGAAAGGAAAAAAATCAAACATTAATTTAGTGAATAAAAAATTTTGAATGACAAGGCATTTTGGGTCTTCTAGGAGACAAAGCTTTGTTACAATAATGTCATTGATTGACATGTACTGTTCATTATGTGACACTTTGACAAGAGATTAATTTAAAAAATGGACAGTTCCACAAAGAAAATTTCTCAAATATTGTGGGGTCCTTATTTCAGCATCTTTGTTTTATTTTGACCCTGGGTGACCCTTGCAATTCAATATGGCCACTGCTACTCATTCCGTATATATCCCCTTGCAGCTTGTAATCTGTTCATGACTACTAAGTTTTGCCATGGTTATTTAGATTACATGGCGCGAGCAGCCACACACAAGAATACGTTAACCACTCGTTCGACTTTGAATGTAAAATGTGAAGTTAGATAGAATACTTTGAATCGAACAGAATTTGTTTTAGTTGAGAAATAAACATAAGGTCATATGGCATATGTAATCATAATTTATCCTCATTCCTTAAACTCAATAAGATTCTGCTAAAACTCGGCTACTGTTTCATGTCAAACAAGCAGTTGAGAATGCTATTTATGATTGCTCATAATATTTAYAACATGTACAGTATGACCTCTTTGCTTTAGCTAGGTCCCTAAGGTTTGTTAGCCAAAACAAAGAAAACTGTATTACAAAAGAATATTCCACGCATACGAGCGGGGTCCACACTTCATGCATACATTAAACACACATGCACGAGCGGAGCCCGTGCGGGGAGCCCTTCCATTTCCCATGCATGGAGACCCTGAAAAACGTCTGGCCTGTACTGTACGTGTAACAAGCATCAGCATTGATAAATGGGTACGTTATCAGGTACCAGCCCACACATGTTGATTGACACTTGGCCAGCTACTGGCCAATGATAAGCTGACTGTTTCTCAATGCACTGCCAAGAGTCAACTGGTGACTTTTGGTCATTCAACAGTACAATATCATCATCTGCATCAGTCTCTTTCAAACAATTTGATGATAGACAGTCAACTCTTGCCTTGCAGACATCCCAATATCATGGACACCTTGCTATTGCGGACAAGAGCAAAATGCAAGGCAATAAATTCTGACAAAGAAATAACCATAATTCATTCTTGCTATTGCGGACGCTCACTATTATGGGAACCTGCTGTAACAAGACTTGACCCTTGTACTTAATGAACTGTTCAATTACCTGTCCTATTCCAGGGTAGTCTGTAGATAAAACTTGTTTTGGTGTTTTCTTGAAAAGCTAAAACAAATGCAACAAGATTTATTTGGCTCCATCAAATGAAAAAAAATACTCCTTTGGACAATGGACAAACAAATACTATGCGCTTGGTCCATACAAATGACCAAGAACCAAATATTTTTCTGTAGGGCCCGACCTAACTCAGTCAATAAGTATTTTATCATATGACACTCACAAAAAGAAAAGAAAAGAAAAGAAAAGAAAGAAAGAAATAGCAAATAAAAGACAAAAGAGAAAGCGTGCAGATTCGAGCAGGGCGTTACCGATTCATAAGGCCCTGCTCTCTCAAAGCCGTACGGCCCTGCTCACACCATTTTCCCGATGGTTTTTTTAAGAGCGCATGCCCGGGCAGATATGGGTCATATGATAAAGTATAATATTCACACACTCCCACATTGATTATTAAACTATACAATATGACTCTCATCTCACATGTATGTGTTATGGCAAGTGACCAAAACCAGTTGAGTGAAGCCAGAGAAAATGATGCATGGTCTGTCCATTTTCATCTTTTACAGTATAATAAAAATAATAATAAATATGTTCTTATATAGCGCATTATAGACTCTCAATGCGCTTAACAAATACCACGATGAAATGTCAAGTGAAAAAAATAGATTAAAGTTACAAATTGAACAAAAATGCTGTTAGTTTTCTCTTGAATATTTCCAAAGACTGCGATGTTTTTATATCTGGTGGTAAACAGTTCCATAGTCTGGGCGCTGCTACGGCAAAGCTACGCGTACCATATGACTTAGTACGATATGGAGGTTGTTTTAAAATTACTCCTTGTGTGGCACTCCTTAGCTTATGAGTAGGTTGGTGTATTTTGAGAATATCACTTATATAGGATGGAGCGATACCGTTTATAGCTTTGTATGTGACCGTTAAAAGCTTGAATTCAATTCTTTTGGTATATTAGTCACTAAATCCAAGAACAACTTTTTGATGCCAAATTTGCTTACCTCTTTTGTTGGATCAGTGACAAGCTGGTATAAAAATGCCTTTTCAACAGGACTGATTGGGGACATAAATGCTCCTTGTGTTGTCTTATTAGAATCTCCTTCAGATGGTTCACTCTATAATCAAGGTGGAAAAAGTATCACTTGTATGTTAATGTTCTACAAAGTAAAATGAAAAACCAGCAGAAGATAGCCTGCGTCACATCCGGAATTTTCTTCGTAAAAAGACAGACTTCAAAAGAAAAGGACGGATGGAACAAAGGCTAACAGAAGACTGTGAACAAATGGTTAAAATAAGACGGGAATGAGATATGAGTAAACACCTGTAGAGGATTAAAGAAATGGAAAAACAGGTAGAACAGCAGCAGAAGATTATTGATATCTGATATTGCATCAACATGTTATAAGTCCTAGAGGTGTTCATATCCAGACAAGTGCAATTTTGACCAGACATTATCGTTGATTATTGATCAGTTTTTTTATCAATAATACATGTAGAGTGCTTCTGTTGAACAACTGAATAAATTTAGTAAATTTAGTTAGTTATTTAGCATATGTCAACTAATTAAATAGTAAAAGTGCGCCAAATAACGGTCATGCTAATCCGGGGGTTTGTTTTACCAGAGAATGAGTGAATAGACATTCATTTGTATCATCGTTTCTCCCCCTGATCTCAGTAGCTGTTTACTCGTAGTTTCAAATTTAGGTGACGTCACCTAAAATAGTAAATAACTTATCTAATTTAGTTGACATCACCTATTCAACAGTGAGACTAAAAGCACTCTAATAACATGACTTTATTTAATGAGTGTAGAGTACATGTATAAATACCCGGTATACAAATTATAAATTATGTAAAAATTACTGATTTATAGAGTACAAACACTATAAGTGTATAATATAAATACCACTAAATACTGCTAAATTATGCTAATCCTATTGTTTTCTATTGTTTAATTAGCACTATTTACTACTAAATAGTGCAAAGTGTTGCACACTTTTAATGTTTGTACTCTACCCAAAAATGTGTAAATTAAATTAAAATTTTAAGGGATAAAATGGTTTATATTTACCAGTAATTGTACAAAGACTGGAGCAAATGGATTAACAGACACATTGTCTGTCTTATACATCTCATACAGAAGGAATATCAATATGATACGGCTATTACTGGATGCAAGTAGATCAGGATGCTGCAGTAACATCACCTGGTAAGATTAAAGACATCAAACACCTAAATCAAGAGGTCATCAGTTAAAATATATACCCATCAACTTTGAATGAACTAAAATTTCTCCTATAGTCAACATTAAGAGTAAAGACATAATAACTATGGAATAAGACGCATATACGGGGATGTACTCGGGTGGGTAATATGGCGGGGGTCCGACGGAGCTTCATATTGCAACCCCCAGAAAATACACAAACCTGAAATTTTACACCCAAAAAAATACATGGTTTCCAAATTTCTGACCCAAGACTTAAATACTTCAAAACTGATGTAATGAATTCAACAGGCTCTTCAAATGCATGATTTTGCATATAAAACGAAAAACAACTTAATGGATTGTGCCTTGCTGAAAAAAAAAATCAAACAAATAATTTTCTGATACAAAAATTGGACTTGGAGGTGTAACAACCCAAAAAAATACGGGTTTCACTTCGAGACTCAAAAAAAATATGTGGCTGGTTGACCCAAAAAAATATGTCGGACCTCCCAGTCATGTTACCCACCTGAGTACACGGCCCTGGGGTCAGAGCTCTTTGTAGAATGAGTCATACAACAATAGAATTTAATATGTGCATATGTCTTGCGGGGTATTCTATAGTTGTACCAGAAATTCTTATTAAATTACTCCAGATTACAAAACCCTTCACACAAAACCCTAAAATACAGTACTAAAATTTTCCAAAGCTTTCTTGAGCTCTAACCTTCAATCACTCGCTTCATAACCTTATTAAAATTTCTAACTTTAATAATATCTGGTTAAATTAGTTTCATAAAACTTAAATTTAATGATTATTAAGCTTATATTAATGCATTAATTTTAAAACTAAAATGCTATTCTTCATTGGATTTGAATCAAAGGAAATTTTATGCCTTGGGGATTATAATATTTCTTCGTAACTCGCTGTAAATATCGTTAAAAATGCAAACATCTGATTTAAAAATTAAACTTAAAGATATATTGACTTTTAACTTACCAACGTTGAACCAATCTTAAAATGATCATTTTTGGAAAAGCATTGATGTAAATGATGGGCAATGGAATCAAAGGACGTCAGAAGAAGCGATTCATCAGAAAGAATACTGTTTAACGTTAAAAATAAGCAATAAGTATATAAATAAATAAATATACGAGTTGAGATACAAAAATTATGTACAAGCAAATGTTACGTTGGTAAAGATGAAGTAACGACTTTTGAACATCAAATATTCAATGAATAAATAAAAACAAAATAATACAAATACCTCAGTAAGGAAGATAGTTCACCAGTTGATAAGGTCATTTTAAGAATTCTTGATTATCTTTTGTCAAATTGGTAGAATAAAGCAGTTTTTGTCAAGCATTTTTTAACACTTTCTCAAATCCACGTCCGCCATGTTCCGTTGTGAGGACGTACTCAGGCTCCTCAACTTAACCGCGTTTACCACAGGCAACCCAATAAGTCTTATTGATATCTTCACAGCTGCTCTCCTGAAGATAAGAATGATTGAGAGAGAGACTAGGCAGAGTATAATTGTCAAGGAAATTTGATTCAGTCGGCTAGTAGTCGTACCCTACGATAGTATAAATTAAGCTATAATAAATATTTATGTGATTAACTGTGACAAACTCAATCACCTGGACTGCGAGATGACTTGGGATACTAACAGTCCAGGTGATTGAGAGAGCGTTATGTCTAGATGGGATACTCTCAGTCCAGGTGATTGAGAGAGGGCTGTGCCTAGATGGGATACTTACAGTCCAGGTGATTGAGAGAGGGCTGTGTCTAGATGGGATACTTACAGTCCAGGTGATTGAGAGAGGGCTGTGTCTAGATGGGATACTCTCAGTCCAGTTGATTGAGAGAGGGCTGTGTCTAGATGGGATACTCTCAGTCCAGGTGATTGAGAGAATTGTGTCTAAATAGGATACCTACAGTCCAGGTGATTGAGAGAGGGCTGTGTCTAGATGGGATACTCTCAGTCCAGGTGATTGAGAGAGAATTGTGTCTAAACAGGATACTAACAGTCTAGGTGATTGAGAGAGGGTTGTGCCTAGATGGGATACTCGCAGTCCAGGTGATTAAGAATATGTTTGAAGTGCTACTCTGACGAAAATCACTCAAAATTGAATTCAGCTGAAACTTCCTAAGAAGTCATACGTCTGCATACACTCAACATCGAACATCGCTCTATACATTTCTTCGGCGTAGTTTATGATCATAATATCTGTAGTAAAGGGAGAAAGAAATACCCAAACACCCCAAAATATCAATCATAGTCACAAGTAATATGAAATAAGCACATTAACCACCCTTTGGGCTTCATAGGAATAAAATAAATTAAGGATTTGTATGCAAAGGAATATATGTAGCGATGTTTGATCATCGCCAACTATTCCGGCCATGCGCCGCTCGCCAAGTCAGCGGATATCATGTATGAAATAAAACCACAGGAAGCCCAAGCTCTCTTAGGTTTTTGCTTCACAAAGTGCCTATTCTTGAAGAAGGATCTCACAAATATTCGTCTCAAATCGGAGCTTTTTGAAAGTAAAAAACGAAAGGTATAAATTCGTTCAATCGACCACAGATTCGACATCAGTAGTTTAGAATGTGTGTATTTTATGGATCGACCCCGGCAAATGAGGTAACTAGTTCTGATTTTGAGAAATCCTGTTTATAATATTTGACCTTTTGTGTTTTTCTTGCAATGTAACAAAGCACTTATGGCAAGCAGGCTGTTAAAATCTAACTATCGAGACGAAAAGGTTTTTCCAAACAAATTAAAGTATGTTTGGTAAAAATTAAATGCTTTAATGTTATATATTTTTCTTCTACCCCGGCAAGTGTAAAACTGTTTACACAGAAATTTATAAATCGAAAACTATCTTGACTCTCTATACATTTCTTTGTAAAATCTGACTTAACTMGCTTAACACTTTCAAGCGACACCGCTGCATTTGTACGCGGGCGCATGACCGGAATAGTTGGCGATGTGCTGAGTGTATGCCGTCACAGACTCCAAAAAAGTTATCGTAAAAATACCATAATTTCGTCCTGAATATCGAGAAACCACTTTAAAAACAGTGATTATTGAACCTTTAAAGAGTATTCTTAACAAGTTTCAGCTGAATCCAAGTTTGAGCGATTTTCGTCAGAGTAGCACTTTAGTCACTTTCACTATAACTTAGCTTCGTGRTCTAATGTTTAGGTTTAGGATTAGGGTTAGGGTTTCGATTCTTGGTGTCTTCACTTAATTTTTTTTCTAAGTGAAGAGAACCAAAATTTCTATAAACTCCCACTCGTGTGTTCAGAAACCTATGACGTACTTTGTTAACCCTAGTCTCCCTCAATCACCTGGACTGCGAGTATACCATCTAGTGAATCACCTGGACTGCGAGTATGCCATCTAGTGAATCACCTGGACTGCGAGTATGCCATCTAGTTCATCACCTGAACTGCGAGTATGCCATCTAGTTCAATCACCTGGACTGCGAGTATGTTTTCTGTTCAATCAGCTGGACTGCGAGTATGTTTTCTAGTTAATCATCTGGACTGCGAGTATGTTTTCTGTTCAATCAGCTGGACTGCAAGTATGTTTTCTGTTCAATCAGCTGGACTGCGAGTATGCTATCTAGTTAAAACAGCCTATAAGTAATTAAGATTTTTTAGAATGCTTTGTGCCAAGAATTTAATGCTGGTTTAAAATAAGCAAAGAAGAATAAAATCTCATTTTTGAAATACTGAATATTTTGACATCATCTTTACAAGCTTTCCGTAGTAATTTTTCGGTTTTTAAGCAAACGGACGCTCGTGGGATTAAATAACTTTTAAAATTACGTAGCCACCTTAAAAAATAATTTCAAATGAAATCTTGGCAAGAATATTTTGAACTCCTATTTAGATGAAAAGCGAACTGCGGCAAGTTTTGTAATATTTGGTGACTAGATGATGCAGTGAAGACCACGAATATTAGTTGCAAGTCGAGGTTGGAATTGCTGCGCGTGATAAACTATAGTTTTGCTATGCGCGCCAATTCCAACCTCGACTTGTAACATCCATCCACACGCCCCTTGTGGAAATCAGCTTCAGTTGACTGGGGAAGCGTGTTTAAATAAAGTTAACCTACCTACCTACCTACCCTACGTCCTGGTCGACGTTTGGTACCTTCACTTGTACAGGTGAATAATCCATGACCAAGCAGGGATGAGTGGATAAGGAACAGCCAAGAGAAAATTGATAAGAAACTCATTACTTGATTGTAATACAAAGTCAAACAGGGATGGGTCGATAGAACAAGGCTAAGAGAGGCTTGCACTTTCTAATGAAAAGCGCCAAATGTTAAGAAAGTCCGTCCCGGTCGACGAGATGCGATAGTTGAAGAATTGGAAATTTGTATGGACCTCGTGAAAATCAATGGTAAAAAGTACAATCTGACGACTTTGAGAAGTGAACTGACAATAGCCATCTCGGCTGTTCAAAGATATGAACAGTTTTTCAAGTTACTTCGCTAGGTAATAGAACTGTCACACCTCCATAAAAAAATGGCCAAAAACCGTACATAAAACTCGTTTAATGCGCTTGACATTTGCCGAGAACGTGCACTTGCCAACGAAATTTGAAATGTGTATAATAGTGCAGTTTTCGTATGACTGTGAAATGTTCACGGCACGAACACGGTCGTGACACAGCAAGGGATACGCCAGAAAAATCACATTGCACGAGAATTTACTCTCCATCCAATCAAATATCCGGAACACGGCACAAACACGGTGCGGACACGGTCACGCCAAGATCACGGCACTTTTAGACCAATCATATTGCGCGTGAAAAAAATCAGCCAATTAAAATCCAAGGAAGTATCACGGTCACGGCACGTCACGCTTACGGCACTGAGCTTTTCACAGTCATACGAAAACTGCACTACTAACGAAAATAGACCCAATACGATTTACGAAAGGTAGATTAAGGAAGAGGATACGCAATAACGTAGTAAAACGTGCACTATTCAAAATCAAAGAAGACGAACAAATTGTTAAAAAATTGCATTTTGTATCCGAAATAAAGGTTTTATTTTTGCAAATCTATAGCTTGTAATCATTGCTATGATATTTAAAGTGACCTTAGCAACAAGGAGGAGATGGGTTGAATTTATGCATTAGAGCGTAACTCAAACTACGAAAGATTCCTTCCTGCAGGCGCATAACTCGAGCTCACGCAACTTTTCTTAATGACTTCAAGTTAGACGCACTGTGTGAAGACGTCAAATTTGTGAAAAGCGCGTAACTCGAAGCGCGTAACTTGATGAATACCCGTCCTCGTTGCATGATGGCGTCATTTTACTCCCACTACCAAAATACTCCGCAAAAATTCTTTCTTATTCAAGTTTGTCATTTCTCATGAGAATATTTAGTAAGATAGTTGCTGCTAATCCATAACTGAACAAAAGAAAGTGTGCCGGGGATTATGCAGGTTGTCGTAATGATGCCATAAAGCAAGTGACCTATGAGGAGTTTTGATACCCTGATAATAGGATATCATCAAATACAGCGCAACGTGCAAACGTACGTATGATCACATCTAATGTATTTACATACTTCTTTGTAAGGGCTTTTTTCTTGTCAAACGAGCATTTGTACCCCTTATTTGGTAAAACCAGACAGCTTCACTTCGTTACTTTTCTTTACTTGATTCTGTTTTTGATATTGACAGGTCTTGTACCTGGTCTGCTTTTCGAGAATGTCCCTGTAATAGAGGTTAACCTCATAAAGTACACTAGTTTTATCTTAATGAAGTTATTTTTCCATTCTTATTTTTATTTTTACGTACAATGTTATATTTTTTGCACATGTTTTTACGTTTAATTATTTCAACATTTCATGAGGTGGTCACTTCGCATGGGTCTCGTGTCCCGTTCGTGACTTTCCTTTAAGGGTAACTATTAGTTTTTCTATTCAATACATTATAATATTAGTTTCCCAATAAAGCTGTTGTAAAAAAAAGAATAGTAGTATGGGAATACATTAAATGTCGTCATACTTTTGCGCTTTGCGATGTAAATAGAAACATTATCAATATTAAAATCAATATCAACATTAATCGCGATTTTATTTTGATTATTCTATCACAAGAAATGAGGGTTTTTTTCAATTTAAAATTTAAAAATCAAAGACAAAGAAAAAGGATGATTATGGAAGCCATATGATTGGCTGTATTTTTAACAAGGGTGTGTGATAAAATTAAGCACGCACTCTTAGGAATCGTTCAGTATTTATATAAGCAATTTGAAAGACCTTTTCTGAAGCTTGGATCGGGTGAAAAATCAAGGTCGAAAAATCCCAACTGATTCATTTCTGAATCAGTCATGGATAGGGTAGCGTTAGCGTACTCACCTCTAAGGGTTGTCTCGAGTTCGATTCCTAGTCTCTGCATTAAATGTGAGTAAAGATCGTTAGGCCTTTCCCTTGATTCGAGGGCTTTTCTCTAGGTTCTCTGGTTTTCCTCCGATCCCTCCGTAAAACTTAACAACCTAAGATTTCTAATTCGATTTTTGAGTAAACCGACTTCTGACTTTGATCAGAAGGTTGTTTCAGCATATGAATGAAATTTGAATTAAGTTTTTTCCCCTCAAAAACTACCCCTGTGTTAACCTTAAGCTGTTCTAGCCAAACTGAAGAAGTTGAAACAACGAAACTAGTTTTTAAAAGCTAAAATACACATAGTGCGTATACTAAGACAATAATATTAAGAGAGTGAAAATTCACTTTTGTTTCAAAGTTAACTTTTAGAACTCTCTAGAATAATTGGTAATTACGAGTTCCTTTTCATTTGATCTTTTCTTGACTTCCCGCTTCCCACCCTTCTGAGATAAACAACGAACGATCCCTAAGTCGTTTCTAGCAGTACTATTCAAATGTTTATACGTTTTCCTTTTGCTGCCCTTGTGGGTTGACGAAACAATAGGTTAAAACGCTGTAACAGTCATGTCACCAATTCCCTATCAAATCAATGCAGTTTACATCAGTCGAGGAATCATTAAAACACTCATGAATAATTCATAATCTTATGTTCCATTGGAGCCACCATACACGTCACGTGCATGAACGTGATAAAGTCCTCTTCATTAGTATTCAAGTGATTTTATATAAAGACACATGTGTCTTCATATAAAGACACATGTGATCTTTATATAAAGACCACTCGAATACTATRAGGATGACTTCATCAGGGATGAAGTATGCATCCAAGTTTAGATGAAGACATAGAGCTTCATCAAGGCGATAGTCAACCCTAAAGATCTTTGACTAACGTGCCTGTCTTTGCCTTGGCACGCAATATCCAACGTGTGGGAGCTTCTATTAAATCTGGTTGCGCATGTCCGTGACGTCAAATCTCTATCGAAGTATAAAAATCCATGTTCGTGACGTGTATGGTGGCTCCAGTTGAACCAAAATCTTATAAATTGTTCATGAGTGTTTTAAGCAGTTCAAAAAACTCGTAGATCGTGTTTTATTTAAAACACTCCTACTCGTTTTTTAAACACTACTTAGTAAAGCAAACTTATTATGTTATGTAAATTACACACTTTATTATAGCGAGTGGAAAATGTAGGTCTTGTCGTCCTTCTCGCCAAACAAGCATCCAGGTTAACATGAGATGCGCACTCACCGCCATGGTTGGAGCTCTTGTCGATTGCCGTGGTTCAGGTCAAAAATTACTCCTTGTCTGAGTTTAATCTATAGATAATCTATTTATTGCTGATATTTCCCCCAAGTTAAGTTCATTATTTCATTAATACATGATTTTGTCTTGCCATCAAGCAACTTGCTCAATTATTTGGTAGGTATACCTTGGAACTTATTACATATATGACCTCTTTCCCTCATGATCTACGAGAAAATAGCTCATTTGGCCTTCGGCCTCACGTCCTATTGGCTCGTAGACCATTTATAAGGGCTTAAGAATTTATTATTAAATAGTGCATCATAAAGTAGAAAATACTTACATTTACTGCACAGCCGTAGACCTCGAACCTCATGCAAAGAAATCCATGCCAAGTAAGTGGCCTTACACGAAGAAATCTGGCGTAGATAGCTGGAAAGATATGGTGCTCACGAATCGTGTGCTGGTCGAAGTTTCCGGGAAACACCTAAGGAAATATAATAACATAAACTTTTATATATTTTAGTCAATATCTTGCATCTGATTGGCCGAAATCATTCAGCCAATCCCTGATAACGTAAGAACTTGACTAAATGTGTTTATGTCTCAGGGTTCATTAAACCTAAGGTCACTGCAGATATTCAAATATGTTTTCTCTACTATTAGTGTACTTACCCTAGGGACACTGTCATGGTGGTAGATCAAAGGAGCACTCTACTATTAATGTACTAACCCCAGGGACACTATCACGGTGGTACATCGAAGGAGCACTCTACTATTAATGTACTTACCCCAGGGACACTATCACGGTGGTACATCGAAGGAGCACTCTACCATAAGTGTACTTACCCCAGGGACACTATCATGGT